CAGCGCCCCAGAGCGCTGCACAACCACATCTCTACAGCTGTACAGCGCTCTGTACACTCTACATCCTCTACACCCTCCCTCAGTCCGGCACTAGCCACTACACCCGGATCTATTGCTGTTTACCGCATCTTAAAATAGAGACCCGACGGCACTGTGTCAGTTTTTTGAAAAATTCTTTTCCCGTCCGGTCTCAAGAGGACGCCTCATTCAGGCACGCCATCCTGCCGCTCGTGCTGCACCGCTCTCCGGCTCAATTCGCCGCTGCGCAGCGGCCCACAAGCAACAAACAACACAACAACTCTCTCCCTCCCCCCCCCACAAGCACCCGGCACTCGATCGATGGACGCAAGGTTAGCTCCATGCGAGAGAGAGAGAAAGAAAGATTTTAGAAAACCAACAAGAAATCACGACTCCCTTCTTCTCCATGCGCATCACAAATCTTACGAAGGTATACCCGGGCGCACAAGACAAACGTATACCCGGGGGGGGGGGGGGGATTGTGAGAAGGAAAAAAATCCAGGAGAGTAGTAGGAAGGCGAAGGCGGAGAATAAAATCCTAAAAGCCGTAAATCCCAAAAAGAAAAAACAATTGCCGGCTTCACGCTCCAGTCGACTCCAGCCAACAAACACGGGGAACCTCCCTCTCCGTCAGAAAGAAAGAAAGAAAACAGACAACTCAAGGGAGGGATGGGAGAACGGCACGCCGCCACCACACAGGGATTTTAAGTCCGTCAGAGTTCGCTCCCACTGAGCACTGCACTTGGAGTGCAGTCATTAGCCTCACATCCAGGGCCAGATTCCCGCTTTTTATTTCGCTGCCAGTTGGTCGCCACACGCGCTGGCGCGCACAGGCAACCGGGACTTACACGCGCGACACGAGGGACTGCGTAACGAGATGACATCCTTCACACCGCTCCTACTGGCCTTCACGCTCCCGCCGCTTCGGCTGCGCCCACACCTCGCATCGTCACGGCTAGCGCGCCTCACCATGGCGGACGAGCGCGGCGTCGCGACCGATTCGACAAAGCGCAGCGGCTTCCGCTTCTCCAGCGGCGGCGCCAGCAGCGACGGCCTCGGTGACAGCAAGCCCAGCAGCCCGTACCTGCCCATCTCGGAGGGCTACCTCGACGGCGACAAGCCCGACGCAGCCTGGGCCCTCGCCGCCACCAACTTCGTCAAGCAGGGTCGCACCATCCTCTCACAGATCGGAGAGACGGTCGGGCTGCTGCCGGGAG